AGTTCCCCCTCCTAATACAATCATAGCCCCAAATGTAAGGGCTAAAGCTATTTTAATAAAATTGTTAAAATATAGTGTATAGTCCAAAACAGCATTAAATTTTTGTGGCATTGATTTAGACAACAATTTCTTAGATGTGAATGACATAAGAAAAAATAGAAAATGGAAGTTAAAACAGAAGACTTTAGTTCTTCAAAGAACATAAATAGAAATGTAAAGGAAATCCACAGAAAGAGAGAAATATATGCAATCACATATTCTATAAGGATGCTGCATTTAGATATAAAAAGAATCCTTGTAACCCAAAAATGTAAAAAGCCCAATTTAAAATGGTTAAGGAAATCAGGGAAATGCAAATTAAAACTACTTTGACATTCTGAGTCACTGGCTAATTGACTATCATTAAGAAAACAGAGTCTGATGATGGTGGTGGCGCACTACCTTCAATCCTAGCACTGGAGAGGTAGAGGTAGGTGGATCTCTGTGAGTTCGAGGCTAATCTGGTTTATAAAGTGAGGGCAGCCAGGAATATACAGGACAAACCCTGTCTCAAAAAAAAAAAAATGTTCGAACGAATGAATAAATAAATAAATAAATTCTGGCAAGGATCTGGTGGGGGAAGGGGAGCCTTTATTGACTGTAGGTACTTTGGAAATCCTTGTGGCAGCTTCTCAAAAGATGACAAAAGACAACTGCCATTTAACACAGCTATACCATTTCTGAGCATCTAACCAAAGGATTCTACATCCCACCATAAACTTGTACAGTCATGTTTATTGCTAGTCTAGCCACCACAGCAGGGTAACGGGATGAGTGAATAATGAAAATGGAACATACACACAATGGAACTTTACTGCAAAGAAAAATGAATTATGAAAATTTGTAGGAAATATATATGACTGGAAATTATTGAGGTAACCCAAACTCAGAAATACAAATGCTGCATGTCCTCTCTTATATGCGTCTATCCTATCTATCCATTAGTGTTTATATATGTATATATGTGAATGTAAGTACTTTTGTTAGGTATTTTTTTTTCACAGCGACAGGAAACATAACTATACTCTGAGAGAAATGAAAATACACAGATTTGGTTAATTTTGTGTCAACTCAACACAAGATAGAGTCATTCAGGAAGGAGCCTTAATTAAAAAAATGCTTTCATAAAATTAGGCTATAGGAGCCGGGCGATGGTGGCGCACGCCTTTAATCCCAGCACTCGGGAGGCAGAGGCAGGCGGATCTCTGTGAGTTCGAGACCAGCCTGGTCTACAGAGCTAGTTCCAGGACAGGCTCCAAAGCCACAGAGAAACCCTGTCTCGAAAAACCAAAAAAAAAAAAAAAAAATTAGGCTATAGGAAAGCCTATAATGCATTTTCTTAATTAGGGATTGAGGGAGGGCCCAGCCCATTGGGGGTGGTGCGAGCCCTGGGCAGGTGGTCCTCAACTATGTAAGAAAGCAGGGTGAACACTCCATGGGAAGAAAGCCAGTAAGCAGTGCTCTTTCTTCCCTGGCCTCTACAGCAGCTTCTGCTTCCAGGTGCCTGCTGTGTTTGAAATCTTGCCCTAACTTCCCTCAAGGAAGGACTGTGATTGAATTGTGATGCAAATTTAAATAATCCTCTCTAAAATCGCTTTTGGGCATGGTGTTTTATCACAGCAATAAATACCCTAAGACACATACCTACCTAAAAATCTGTACATAAAGGTTAATAGCAACACTGTGCATAAAACCATTCAGATACCCATCAACTGATGAGCAAACAGATAAAGAGAATGTGGTGTAACAATACAATGATTATCATTCTGCAATAAAAATGAATAAAATAGCAATATTTATAACAATATAAAGAACCCTGAAAAATTATGCTAAATAAAAGAGGAAATTCATTGGTTAAAGTGATTATTTGACAGATTAGATTCAGAAATAAACACAAAATAAAGGATTATAGAAATACTTTCCAAGAAAATAACTTCTCTTTTTAAATTTCCAAATCCATTAATGCTGTCATCATTAACATGGAAATCACAGAGCTGGCAAACTCCTCCTTATTTAATGCTGGGTATTTGCTTAAAGTTACTCAAAATAGTATTTTCAATAGATCTCTTCTAAATTTCTTCAGTTTGGGAGAAATTAAATCATAACTTGTTATAATTTAAACCAGACAAATGTAGATGATAAAAGTACCTTATATGTACAAGAAAATGTCATAATCAAATTCATTATTTCATAGCTTATGTTCTAATAAAGTAGAAAAAACAAAAATCAAAAAATTTGTTTAGAAAAGAATCTTCCTAAATTGTGCGCTTCGTCGAGTCATTTCCATTTTGTTCAATGCTATATCTCCAGTGTATGACATAAAGTTGGCATTTAGTTCACATTTACTAAGTAAATTACTTCTTAGAGTAACTTTGAAATTTAAAAGTGCATCAGGACCCCTAAAGAGCGGATTAGAACAGACTGCTGGGGCTTAGCCCAGTCTTTCTAGTTCACTATCACTAGGATACAGACCAAAATTTGGTTTTACTTTCTTTTTTGAAAATTAATTATTTTTAATAAAACAATCTTTTCTCATTTTATATACCAATCCCAGTTCCCACTCTCTCCTCTCCTCCAGCTCTTCCACCTTCCCTCCACGCCCCCCCCATCCACTCCTCAGAGAGGGTAAGGCTTCCCATGGGAGTCAACAAAGTCTAGCACATCGTTTTGAGACAGGGTTTTTTCAAATACATTACAAACTGATGTTGATGTTGTCTAGTCCACTGTCTGATGCACACTTTCATCAGTTCAAAGAATGAATATATACATAACAAAACTTTTTAATTGATTATTTTTCTGAAATAAAAAAGAGGTTGGAGTTGAACTCCCTTTCCTACCTTATCAGGAAAGAAATAGACTGCTCCCTTTTATATGGAATTGATCTATAGTCATGTTAGTTCAAGATCAATTTGTTTTCAATTATTGATTTTTTAGTTTTAGATTTATTTTATGTGTATGAATCATACCACAGGAGTACCTGAAAGTTAAAGATGGCTGTGAACCACCATGGGGTTCTGAGAATGGAACCCAGGACTTCTGCAAGAGCAACATGTGTTCTTAACCACTGAGCCATTCCTTCAGTCCCTAATTTGTTTTTTTGTATATACTCAAATACTTTCTTATGATCCATATAACAGCATATCAAAGCACTTGTGGATGTAACATGACATAACAAAAGATTAGTTACCAGAAAGGACGGTGACATCAAATCTACACCAGAGGGATGACCACCACTGGTCTATAAAAGAAATTGAGAAAATAAAAAATTTAAAGAGAGAGGCAAGGCAATAATTATTTGTTTAAAAAATTATTAATATTATTAAACTACAGACAATTTAAGTAATTATCCAGCATGTTATAAAAGAGCCAATAAAATATGTTTACTTCAAATGCCATGGCAAAGAATAAAATAAGTAAAAACTACCCTGAAATATCTTCACCTATAAATTAAGAGTACTGGGAATTGGCAGAAAAAAAAATACAAAATACCAGATGGGCAGGTAAGGATGAAAAACAATGCTATAAAATAAGAAAGTAATGACAATCTAGTCTCTCTGTCCTCTATATTATCGCCCTAACAATTTGGGCCCCTTTGAAGGCCTATAGGTAGTAAATATGTAGGAGAAAACCCTCAAGTAGCTGGAAAGGTCAAGTTTACCATCATTTTCATCTAGCTGGCATCACGGACTTTTGAGTTCCAATCACATAAAGAATTTATAATAATACTGGACATCTATAAAAACTATAATGTGAGCTGGGTGTGATGTTACATGCCCTTAATTCTAAAACTTTGGAGGCAGAGGTAGGAAGCCAGCCTGGTCTACAGAGTTTATTCCAGGACAGCCAGGCTACATAGAGAGACCTTGTCACAAGAAAACAAAACAAACCCCCAAACTATTGTCACTGTCAACCCAAACTAGGATCACTAACTAATCACATCGATGAAGAACTTTTCAGCACTAAAGCTGACCTTTCCACTCTCAAATAGGAAAAAATTCAGGTAATTAAAATTTCCTGGCAAAAACTGTAACATGAACACTTGTTAAAAACAGAGTAGCTCCTTTTTTCTTTTAAGCTATTTTTGATATTTTTATTTTATGAGTATGAATGTATTTCACATACATGTATGTCTGTGTACCACATGCATACAGTGCCCATAGAGGCCAGAAAAAGGTGCCAGCTTCTCGGAGGCTGGAGTAACAGACTGTAAGATACTATATGGGTGTTGGGAATTGAACCCAGGTTCTCTGGATGAGCAGCCAGTGCTCCTAACTACTGAGCCATCTCTCCAGACCATCTTCTTATTACAATCGTTCCTTGTATAAAATATGAACGCCAGAGGATATTTAAGAAAAGTACTCAAGTTTTCTTCAAAAGTAGGCTTCAAGCACTGGCATATTCTCCTGAATGACTTCAGGGCCCCCTTTTAAAAGAAACAAAATATCTGTTTTGCCTCTTCTATCCAGGATATTTTTAATGTGTAGGCTGCTATAATTCCACTTTGAAAGCAGAAGGGGTTTTAAGTCTTTCTTAAGAAGTGCTATTAATAAGTACAGAAATAATCTCTGCAAGTATAGTCTTTAGGTCATAGGCCCTAGGAGAGAACTTACTACCGTCATCCGTCTAAATGGACATAGCATCAGACTACCCCCTAAGTGCTCATGTTCATTCCAAGATTAGTGCAAGAAGCTTCTTTTTACAGTAGGTGGTGGTTAATATAGAGACCCACATCTGGGTCTCATGAAGAGAATAAGAGACTGTGGAGTGCTCAGCCCTGAATGGGACATCTATATTATATATACACTCTCAAGACTCAGGGATCACTGCAGAAGAGAGAGTGGAAAGATTAAAGAACACCGTGGAACAGTGCTTTCCAGAACTGGCACAGCTGTTGCACACATGAACTCATACCATGCATAAAATCAAGTCTGCCAAAATCTAAGCGTGGAAAGGGAGGGGCTCAGAAACTCCACTCTCAGATGGGCTATCGGGAGTTGATGGCTGCTGGGGGAAGAAACATCAGTTCCCTTTATGGATGGGGCCCCTAAAAGGCTGCTCATGCTTCAGTAGACAGCCATACAACCCCCCGCCCCACTAGCAGTACTCAGTGGACTCAATGGGTTTGAAAAACATAGTACATGAAGTTGTGAGAGGAGAGTGGAGGGGCACATGGAGAAGGTGGAAGGGAAGGACTGAGGATCAGACTTGATCAAATGTACTTACTATATGCACGTGCAAAATTCTCAAATGGTAAAAAAGTAGCGCTACTAGAAGGGATTAAATTAGCACCTTCTCAACTTGGACATCTTAAAATACTATGATTTCCCAGAATTTTAAAAGCTATTAGGTATTTCTTTGACTAATGCACTAAGTCATTCAGTGTTTCCTACAGTGAAAGGCCATATCGTTTGGTGACTCCTATTGATTCCTAGTCCTGTGCAGCTGTTCCTCCTCTTCATATGTATGTATCATTTAATGGTTCTCTCCTATAGTAGTTAGAAAGCCTATTTTGTGTTAAAATCTCATAAAACCATCCTGTCATTTATTTTTATGGTGTTTGGGATGAAACCCAGGGCTTTGCACATGTTAACCCCGCCAAAAGAGATTAAAAACAAAGCCTTCATCTAATCTGGTATCCTCTCTAGTACCTTTTTTTTTGAGACATTGTTTCTCTGTGTAGCCCAGGCTGTCCTGGAACTCTCTCTTTGTAGGCCAGACTGGCCTTGAACTCAAGAGATTCACCTGCCTCTGCCTCCTGACTACTTGGGGTAAAGGCGTGCACCACCTGTAACTAATATATTTTTAAAATTTATGTGTATGCATGTTTTACCTGCATGTACATATTGTAGTATTATGTGTTCCTGATGCCTATAGAGCCAGAAGAGGACACCTGATATTTTGAACTACAGTTAATGACAGGTGTGAGCCACCATGGATGTACTGAGAACTGAACCTGGCAGCAAGTATTCTTACCCACTAAGACATCTTTCTGGCCCCCATTTTTAAAAAGATTTATTTGTGTTTTATGCATATGAGTATTTTGTCTGTATATACATTTGTGTACCATGTGCATGCAGTGGAAGACAGCACCAAAACTCCTGGAACTGGAGTTACAGACTGTTGCGAGCCAGTATGTGGGTGCTAAGAAAGAAAACCAGGTTCTCTGCAAGAGCAACCAGTGCTCCTAATTGCTGATCTATTTCTCCAACTAGCTATTCTTAAAAGCAGGAAGTCTATCACTTTTATAAAGAAAATACATTATAAATTACACATTACTTGTAATAAGGGAACCCAGGGTTTCTTGTTATCTGTTGCCAGCGACAATTCCTCCAAAAATTAAGTCATTTGATCCAGAAAAAGGGGAAAGCTATCTAGAAATAGTAGCTATGAGGGAGATTCCATGGCTTGTTATTACTTGTGGAAAGCTCATAATCATGCATGCTATATGGAATTGAAGGCTGCTTGAAATATGTTTAAAAAGTCTTTGTCGTTTCACCTGACTCTCAGTAGAGACAGACAGTCTACGAAATTCCACCTGAAAAATAAATGGTTCAAGTTACACCGAGGATATGAAACTAAATAAATTATTCTAACAAAGTTTGATTCTAAAATAATGTTTTGGTTTTGATTTTGTTTTTGGACAGCCTCTCCAGGATTCTGGACAGGCCTCCATCTTGCTTTCTAGCTGAGGCTGTCGCACCTTGACCTCTTGCTCCTCCAACTTCTATGCCCTGCATGTGGGGTTATAGGCATGCACCATCACACCCAGCTAAGAATATTATTAATTATGATTACATCAATATTTTTTCAGGTTATATATTACCTGCTTTATCTCACTTTTTAACTGCATGATTCCAGTTCGTTCTGTTTTTGTTGCTCCAACAGCACCGATCTCATGGATGGAAATAGCAGGACTCACATTTGAATCAATGGGACGAACTGTACAGAATGAGAGATAAAAAAGAACCTGTCTAATTTTCTCTGCCATGTTAAAAAGACTTACATGTGCATCTTTCTTTTGTTTTTAACCTAAAAAATCCTAGTGCAACCTTGCTGTTTCAGTGTAGTTCTTGGACCAGTACCATTAGCACCACAGGTCCCATATCCGGCCTACTAATTCAGAGTCTGCATTTTAGAAATACTTCCTGCCTGAGGAATATTATTTTCTAACTTAAAAATTTTATTTTCATTATTCTTATTTGTGTGTTGTATTTGTGTGTGTGCACGCATGCACATGCATGTATATACATAAATGTATGCCACATATGTGCAGAAGAGGGAGTTGGATTCCGTGGCTGGAGTTAAAGGCAGCTGTGAGCTGCTGTACACAAGTGTTGGGAACTGAACTTGGATCCTCTAGATGAGCAGTAAGTACTTGTAGCCACTGTGCTGTCTCTTCAGCTCCTATACTTTCTAACTTTTGTGGCGAGTGGAGGAACTCCTAAGTGAACGTGTGCTGTTGACACTGGCATGGCAAGTATTTCAATACCTTAGCCCCATGGGTGTGAAGTGTTAAAGCATTCCCCAGGTGAGGTTTAGAGGGACAGAAAAGTCCTCCTTGGTGATCTGAATGTGACTATCGATAGTGTTTGCAGAAAATGTCCACCTTAGTTTTTTTTTTCCCAGATGTTTACAGCCTTAAGACTGTTCCTATGGAGATTTAGCTAGACCCGCCTCCTTGTTCAGTTGTATGCAATAACCACACCTCTCGATTCAACTGTATATAGTAAATATAATGAGCTTTGGGGATGCTGTGGTTTCTCCGTCAGAGTCCAATCCACTGCTTTCGGCTTTTCTGTGTCTGTGTGTCTGTACATATTTGTCTTTTCTTCACTACCTCATCACCCCAGTCAGATATGTCCCTGGTAGCCATGCAAGGACACAACAGACTTCAAAAACAAAACATGCTGAAGTCTGGCCATCCTGTCTTGAAAAAATAACTCAACATTAATGATTAAATATAGGAGATGATAATCCTTTTTTTTTTGTTTGTTTGTTTTTGGTTTTTTGAGACAGGGTTTCTCTGTGGCTTTGGAGCCTGTCCTGGAACTAGCTCTATAGACCAGGCTGGTCTCGACTCACAGAGATCCGCCTGCCTCTGCCTCCTGAGTGCTGGGATTAAAGGCGTGCACCACCACCGCCCGGTTTATGGCTCAGCCGTTAAAGGCTAGGCTCACAACCAAAAATGATAATCCTTTTTTTTTAAAAAAAAAACTTTGTTAGGTTCTTGTTATCCTTCTTTAAAAGAATAATGCTTCAAAAACCCAAAGTACACACTGGTTTTGATTTAGTACCTACAGCATGTACTAAAGCAAAGCTTGTACCCTCAGTGATATATAAAATTAAAACCTGTTAATAAAAATGTAAAAAGTGCATATGAAGATTAGCTTGTAAAAGACTCTTAGAGATATTAGAATTTAAGGTTGAAAGGATATAGTGGATATGTTGCGACTGCAAACATACACGTACATTATCAGTTTTACTGAATTACTGCCAATTTGAATATAAAAAAGATTAAGAATGGATTTTTAGTTGTCTTCCTGACTTACGATAATGAAAGGTAATTTAATACATAGTTAAAAAGAAACACGAGGGATGGCCCAGCAGGTGCAAGCACTCGCTACAAAGTCTGATGACCTGAGTTCAATTCGTGGGACATACATGGTGGAAGGAGAGAACCGACTCCTGCAAGTTGTCCTCTGGCCTCCATACATGTGCTGTGGCACCCCTCCCCCAATACACACAGACAGACAATAAATAAGCAAGCGCAAATAAAAATTTTAATGAAACATGACAGCTATTAGTTTACTTAGTTGTCATATCATTTAAGGAAAAAGAAGTTACACATATGCTTGTATTTCCAAATCTTCTGTAAAAAGTGTGTGTGTGTGTGTGTGTGTGTGAGAGAGAGAGAGAGAGAGAGAGAGAGAGAGCGAGAGAGAGAGAGAGAGAGAGAGAGAGAGAGAGAGAGAGAGAGAGAGAGAGCGCAAACATGTTGCTCATGGTGTGCATGTGGAGGGCAGAGTAGAACCTTAAGTGTTGGACCCTGACTTCAACCTTGTTTCAGACAGAGCCTCTCCTATTCAATGATACATATGCCAGGCTAGCTGGCCACAAGCTTCTGAGATTCTCCTGTCTCTGCCTCCCATCTCCCCTGGTTAGCTTTGTTTTGTTAATTTAACAGAAACTGGAGTCATCTGAGAGGAGGGAACCTCAATTGAAATAATGCTTTCAACAGACTGTCTATTGGGCATTTTCCTGATTAGTGATGTAAGAAGGCCCAGGATATTGTGGAAAGGTGGTATAAAGAACTGACTAAGTGAGCCATGAGGAGCAAGTCAGTGAGTATCATTCCTCCATGGCCTCCACTTCAGTTCCTGAAGTGCATGGAAGCCAAATAAACGTATTCTTCTGCAAGTTGCTTTTGGTCATGGTGTTTACCACACTGCTATAGGCAGACTAGGATAAGGGTGAGCTAGGATTACAGACACAAGCTACTGAGCCCAGCTTTTGGAGAAGTGATAGATCCAAACTCAGATCATCAAGTGTGTGTGGCAAGCACTTTACCCATTGAGCCATTTCCCCAGTCCAAAATCTTTTCTTAAATTGAATTTGTCTTTTAGTTTGCAAATCTTGTTCCAAAAGATAGCTTTGCTTTTAAATGTTTTATCCATTTAAGTTTTATTTATTTGGGAGCCAAGATACCCTCTGTTAGAAGGAAAACATCCTAAAATGGAAAATTAAAATGAAGTACCCTGAAGTGTAAATTCAGCGCTTGGGTCTTACCACTTCGTTCCACTCCAAACTCTTTGCCACTGAGGATGTGGTGCAGGAGGTTCTTCATGGCAGAAGGACTCAGATTCATCAGGCCCTCTGTGGCTTCTTCAGCTAATGAACAGAAATGCATGCAGAGGAATTCTAGTTTGCCCACCATATCCTCCTTACTTCCCATTCTCTCCTTGAAACAGGATCTCAATATGCAACCTAGGGTAATTTTTTTTTTCCTCAAGACATAGTTTCTCTGTATGTCATAGTTCTCTGTATATCCTAGCTGTCCTGGAACTCACTTTCTAGACCAGGTGACCTTGAACTCACAGAGATCTTCCTGCCTCCGTCTCCTAAGTGCTGGGAATAAAGGTGTGCTCCACCACTGCCTGGCCCAACTGAGGCTAGTATTAAACTTGTCATCCTCCTGCCTCAGTCTATAACGTGATAGAATTGCAGGCACATGTGACCACACTTGGTCTCTCACTTGGATGTGCCCTTTCCTCTCCTCTTAGATGGGGATTAGACCCTCTATTTCCTTTAATAGGATTTCTAAGTCACTCACTTTAGAAGATGCAGTTACAGAATAAATTTCTAACAACATAAATTGGCTATTCATACAGCACCACATTTTAATTATTTAAGAACTGACTACCTAGATTTTAGATTAGGTTGCCCACTAATTTCTTCTTCATCATATTACAACATTTCTGGGAAACGCCATACAGTTTTTATATGAGGGTGAGAAGAATGAAGGCTATCAAGAGGAATGGAAGACATTCAGAGAAAAGCAATGAATGTATATGCACACACAGTTAAACTGAAAATTTCTCAGTGTATATGGTTAAAAGAGAACAGAGGTGAGTTGGTGAATTTACTAAGAATACTGAAAATAACTTGAATGTGTTCTTCAACATTATTCATTTACAAGGAGCATACTACATATGGGTCATTATTTTAAGCAATGTAAGTACAAGCAGGTATAATACATAGTACCTAACTTTGAGAGGCTGACTATTAATTTTGGAGGGATAGAACAACATGTAAACTAGAGAAACAATAAAAACAACAAAATATTGTATATACAGGTTAACTGAGAAATATAACCAGTGATTGTTTGGAATTCAGAGAAGACACCAATCTGCAAGAATAGAAATTGATAAAATTTTTGGCCTCAAACTCAAGAGATCTGCCTGCCTCTACTTCCCAAGTGTTGGGAATAAAGGCATACGCCACCACCACCCAACCCTCCTCTGTTTTTTTTTTCTTTTCTTTCTTTATGTTTTTTTGTTTGTTTATTTGAGATAGGTTTCTCTGTGGTCCTGGAACTTGCTCTGTAGACCAGGTAAGCCTTGAACTCACAGATATCCATCTACCTCTGCCTCCTGAGTGCTGGGATTAAAGGTGTGTACCAACACTATCTCACTTCTTTTAAACTCAATTACATGGTCTTCAAGCATGAACTTAATAATTGGCAAAGGTTATGTAGCACTATCAAGGTTAGATAAACCTGTTTGACAAGTCTGTTGTATAACTTCCTTGGCCCCCAATTATTTTTCTAACTAAAATTGTTATCTTGGCAAATCTATAAATAATTTTCAAGTCTTGTTTGTTGTGGAGTATTTGTTTGCACTGTGAAGATATGTCTTTGCCAAGGTGCCTCATGATTATTTTAATAAAGAGCTGAATGGCTAATAGCTAGGCAGGAAGAGGTTAGGCAGGACTTCCAGTGACAGAGAGGACTCTGGAAAGAATAAAGGCAGAGTCGCCAGCCAGATAATGGAGGAAGCAGGATGAACAGTAAGAAGATGAGGTAATCTTGTGGAAGAACACAGATTTAAAAATATTATTTAATTTAAGTTATAAGAAGTAGTTAGGAACAAACCTAAGATAAGTAAAGGGAACACTCCTGCATTGCTGGTGGGAGTTCAAGCTGGTACAGCCCCTTTGGATGTCATTGTGGTGATTTCTCAGAAAGTTAGGAAACAACCTTCCTCAGGACCCAGTAATACCACTTGTGAGTATACATCCAAAGGATGCTCAATTGTGTCACAAGGACATGTGCTCAACTATGTTCATAGCAGCTTTGTTTGTCATAGCCAGAACCAGGAAACAACCTAAATGCCCCTCGACTGAAGAATAGATAAGGAAAATATGGTACATTTACATAATAGAGTACTACATAGCAGAAAAAAATAACAACAGCTTGAATTTTACAGGCAAATGGATGGAGCTAGAAAACAGCATTGTGAGTGAGGTAACCAACACCCAGAAAGACAAATATAATATGTACTCACTCATAAGTGGCTTTTAGACATAAAGCAAAGGAAACCATCCTACAAATCACAATCCCAGAGAACCTAGACAACAATGAGGACCCCCAAGAGAGACATAAATGGATCTAATCTACATGGGAAGTAGAAAAAGACAAGATCTCCTGAGTAAATTGGGAGCATGGGGACCTTGGAGAGGGTTGCAGGGCAGAAGAGAGGCAGGGAGGAGAGTAGAAAAAAATATACAGCTCAATAAAAATCAATAATATTAAAAATTAGCCACTTAAGAATGGGAAACATTATAATAAGGGAGTTTGTACCTTATATGGTGCTTTGATAATTTTGATTTTTTAAAAGGCTAATTAACAGAGAATGGCTGCTGCTGAGAGACACTGGATTCTGAAAGAGACTGCTAAATTAAACCAGCCTATATACTTTAGGGATGTCTTGGCTTTATAATGAAAGCTAGGAAATGTGTTGCATTGTGGGAGAGGTTGTGCTTTGTTTCCACAGGAAATGCAAAGCCTAAACGTCTTCAAAATTATAATGATCAGGTTTGATGTGGGAGACCTCCTGAGGATCTTGGCTGTAGACATGCCAGAGGAAGCCAGGAAAGACTACAGGACAGATGACATATATGCTGATCCCTTGTCATGGAACAGCTCTGGGACTGGATGAGACATGATATATCTTGTTGGCTACAGAGTCCTCAAGACTCATTATTACATGCCATACTTTCATATAGACAGATATTTCTATAGCAATTTGGTTATATAGTCCAAATGCACTTATAAAGTTGACAAATGCTTTTTTACCTGCTCACACATAAAATAAAAAAATAATCTTTAGCTGACTTGTACACACCGCACATTCCATACTTATATTAATGCAGATATGTATGTTACCTTTAAAAGTTTGTGTGTTTTCAGAACAAAAAGACCAGATACCAATGAAGACAAGTAGCCCTGGTGATTCAGGCTCTCCGAATGCTTCTGTTACAGTTCTGTTACAAAGTTCTGCATCCAGAACAACCAGATCTCAGCTGCTAGCTGAGATGGTCCAGCATCACAGACTACTCCAGCTGGGACTTCAAATAAGTTCTATCTACACTTTCCCATCACACAGAGACAAAATAAAAATTATACAGCTAGCTCTTTCAGGACTTGACCATTATCCAAATTTTCTCAGGGTGTCCTAAAGATGCCATCACCCCCAGACAACAGGAAGCAGTCTAGAGAACATGACACTCCCATTCTCAAGAGGTGGGGTGGGCGATTTTTGGTTGTTGGGTGGGCTATGGATGTGTGTCATTATTTAGGGGACTTTTCTGCAAGGTGTTACTTGTCATGCTCAGGGAAAAAACTAAACAAAGTAGGTTAGATTAAGAGATTTTTTTTCTTGAAAAAGTGGGGAAGGAACATTAATCTCAAATATTGCTATGGAGTTTTGTATGTTGATACAAATTCATGTTCCTACACTTGTTTAATGTATTGAACCTATGTAGCTCATTTATACATGTAACATAAAAAGCAGGCAGTGGTGACACATGCCTTTAATCCCAGGACTTGAGAGGCAGATCTCTGTGAGTTTGAGGCCAGCCTGGTCTACAGAGCAAGTTCCAGGACAGCAAGGGATGTTACATAGAGAAACTCTGTCTCAAAAAACCAAAAAAAAAATGTAACATAAAGTTCTAGTCCTTAAAAACTATTTAGGATAATAAAAGATATACAGGATAGTAGTTAGTCATCTATACAATCAAGTTAATGGTCATGTTAGGTATGTTTTCAAGGTCAATCAGAGAAATATTTCAAATAGGTAGATGGTCTTCAAACACCTCAAAGATGTACAGATTATGACATTTAAAAATGTTTTGATAACATAAGGCTTTTCATGACAATGAGACATATCTGCTCCTGGCAACACCAATCTACTTCATTAAAGAATGATGGACACTGAAGAACCTTCATGTGGAGTTTACTTTTACTGTGGCAAAGATAGCCACTGGGCAAGAAATTGCCCTTGCCTTGATTGCTGATATGTATACTGTCCAAATTGGATAAGCAGGGCGCAAAAGAAGGTGACTGCTGAACTTTGCCAAGATAAGGTAGGATAGTCTGCTTCATAGAAAAGTCTGTCAGATGTTCTAGGCCCATAGGCCAAAGATGGATGCCCCAAAGTTACAGAGGAACCTTGGGTTGACTGTCCAAGCAGCTAGGTATTTCTGTTGTTTCTTAGGTTTAGAAGTTGCTTTCTCTGTACTTCCTGTTTTTTCAGGTAATATTATATCCTTTCAGTGGTTGAGGATTAGATAGTTATAGTTACAGTTTTCCATAGTTATAAAAGGAAGTAAATCAGGTACAAGACTTTGAATTTACCAAGATAAGATAGATAATAGAGTAGTTTCTCTGGATTTGCCAGATACAAATAAACTCGATGTTGTGAATGTAATTCGTACCTGATTCTTATTGTATATAGTTTTATTGTGTTAGAGATAACTTTCCTTTTTATTTAGAAAAAAACAGAAATGTTTCAGAATATTTGTTTACACTGTGAAGATGTGCCTTCTGATTGGTTTAATAAAGAGCTGAATGGCCAATAGCTAGTTAAGAAGAGGTTAGCCAGGACTTCTAGGGACAGAGAGGACTCTGGGAAAATGAAAGGCAGAGCTACCAGCCAGACACAGAGGAAACAGGATGGACAGTAAGGAAATGAGGTAATGAACCTCGTGGAAGAATGTAGAATAAAAAAAAAAATACGGGTTAATTTAAGTTATAAAGGGTAGTTAGGAACAAGTCTAAGCTAAGGCCAAACTTTCATAATAAAAAGTCTCTGGGTCTTTACATGCAGACTGGCAATCTTGATGAGAAAGTACTACTACATTTGTTAGATAAGTGTTAATAAAATACTTCCTTACTTGATCATGATCCTGACAGACCATTAATACTCTGATATACCACTCAGTGACTCACACTGATGTCCAGAAGCTTCCTTCTTTCCATCAGACCCCAACACAGAATACCAGTCTCTAAAGCCCTTGAGGCATCAGGAAGAAATCAGGTAAAAGAACTTGGTTAAGAAGAATGTGGAATGCAGAGTCTACAAGAAGTGGCATTTTGAAGTTGCCATCTTTTTGCTCACTTAGTTACTAAGAAACACAAGAACAAGACAGTCTTACACAGTTTTTGAGCTATGGATTGTTATAAAATATTATTTTAAGATGTGTTACATTTGTTTATGCTGTGGAAATTTGTTTTAATGATGCAAAGTTGTGTTGCATTCTTTTATGTTGTATTTGTTTTAACTCTGTGAAGATGTGGTTCTTTGCCTGTCTAAAACACCTGACGGGCTAATAAAGAGCTGAATGGCCAATATCAAGGCAGCAGAAAGGACAGGCGGGGCTGGCAGGCAGAGAGAATAAATAGGAGGAGAAATCTGGGAGGGGAGAAGAAGGAGCAACTTAGAACAAGGAGAGGAGGACATCAGGGGCCAGCCACCTAACTACACAGCAAGACATAGAGAAAGATGTAAAGAAAAGCACACAGAAACAGAGAAAGATAAAAGCCTGGAGGCAAAAGATAGAGGGGATGATTTAAATTTAGAAAAGCTGGCTAGAAACAAGCCAAGCTAAGGCCAGTGTGATTTATTTGGTAGCTGAGTGGCAGGCCCTCTGCCAAAAAAAAAAAAATAGTAATAAAAAGAGTAAATAATCAACAACAATGGATCAATAAAATGTTCTTCCTTCCCGTCCTGATTTCAACCTTCATGGATCTGCCCTAGAAGTGAATTCCACTTACAATTAGTTACTGAATTAAATGAATACCTGAGCATCGAAGAGAGTGAGCCAGTTCTGTTGCCATAACTTGGATGATCAGACCAATTCGAAGTCGGAACATTTCAGCAAAGAGGCCAGGCTGAGTTCTCATGTACATGGCAAGATATACCATTATTTCCTGTGTACAGAATGGATATAAACAAAAGTTAGAGTGTCACAATGTCTGTTTTGCAAGTTGTCAGGTCAATTAAAAACAAATACTGAAACATCAATTGCCAGGTTAGGCTTTTTAATGCTGCCCACCTGTGTAAGGATTGAAATACTCATGTCTCCTTCACTGGCTTCGTCTATTAGCTTAGTGAGTGCCTCATATGGTAGAGGTCTAAGGAAGAAAACAGTGAATGAAGTCCAAAGTCTACCATCATTTAGCCTAAATATATTTTAAAAATTAAAACCTCAGTGCAAGTCCAAACCCCTGCCACAACAGCTCACCAAGTGTAGTTCTTTCACAGCAAAACTCCCACGCCCTGCCTCTGAGGCACACTCTTGCCATATTAACAGAACTTTCATTTAAAACTCACCCCTCGATGTCTTTCCAGACCAGTGTTTCACTGTTAATCTTTACCATGTGACAAATAAGCATAATGGCTACAAAGAAAGAAGCTGATGGTGGTGTTCCTGCAGCCGTGCACTCGGGGTGCTTTGTGAGTGCCCATTTCCCCTTTCAACTTTAACCTTCACACCTTTGATTCCTTCTTCAGCAGCATAGAGGTGCATATAACAGCCCAATGCTCTAGCCATATACTTTCTTCTATTTCTTTTTCAGATTGTGGTTGCCTTTTATGTTGTCAACTCCCAATGTTCTGTGCTTTGTGTGTTTTTAGAATGAGTAGAATTAAGGGATTTAGAAAAATCAATAAGTTTTCTCTTTTCATTTGCTTGTATCCCATCATTTTCCTGTTCTGCAGCTCTGTATATATAAGGTGTATACAAATTAGGACAAGAGAATTGTGGCAAGTTCACCCAATTTCTTAAAGGCTCAGCGAAACCTTATAAAAAGCCAACCACATGCCCCACTCACGCAGAGATTGTCTTCTCGCGAGGTTCTGGAGGAAGTCCTACCGTCAGGTGTTTCTGGTATGAGAGAAGGTCTGTGCAGGCCTATGAAGAGGGAGCAGAGCTTACTTACCCTTTCCAAAATTTTCAGATTTCCAAACATTCACAAATAAAAAGCTGAGTATCAGAAACTTTACGTGCAATTGAAAACAATTAGAAGTTGCAGTTGTTTAAAAAACAATTAGGAAAATCAAGGTATCCCTCTGCAGTGCAAAGGCTTGAACCGAGGATTCCAGGAAAAGTAAGCACTACCCTACCTTTGTGCTATGCTCCCAGCATGGAGTTTTAAAGTATTCCCCACTTAGATTTTGAGTAATTTCAAGAACTTATTAGTACCTCATCAAGTGCTTCCACCTTCTTCCTTAAGATCCCAGAGATGTATCGGATCAGACCCCAGTGCCGAATTTCACCAACTTTGCCATATAGTTCGCTAAGAAGCTCCCTGACAGTAGCACCTCCTTCTTCATACAATTCAGTGTCCCAGTCAGGTCCTCTGGAATTTTAAAAATGGGAGTACATTAAAAATGAGAAAAATATTTTCTTTTACTGTTATAATGGATATGCCTGTTTTGGCCTTTTTTTTTTAGTAAAAAACTATTTATTAAAAACACTTATAAAACCATAAGAGTCAATCTCCCAATCTTGAAATTAAATGTCTAAGACACCAATTTTATAATTTAGCTATGCTTTGACACAATGCATTCTTTTACCCACATCTCAAGCTTCAACATCACTGAAAAAGGTTTAAGTTCTGAAAGCACACTGTATTATTTTATGAACATTAGAATTGGTTTGTGTTGAAAGGAGACAGATATGTGATTATTATACAATTACTGTTACACAAATCAATTTAGAGATATAGAAAGTTATCTGAAATTGGGAATTTAGTATATGATGAATGTAGATTACTTATTAAATGATGTTAAAAGCATCAAGTAGCTTTCTGGAAAAAGTTGGATCAGTGCCTGAAAGTGTATCTTACAATTCTAAATGTGTGAAGACATAAATATTAAAATGATAAAAAAAACTTAAGGGAAATTAGCTCATAATGCTGGAAGGAAAAGGATTTTCTAGCTATGAAACATCAGCAGAAGCCACAAAACTTGAGTTCAGTAATTTTATACATACAAAACAGTAAAGAGTTCTTACTGAAGACAGTATGCAAAGTGCAGGACAAATTACAAAAGAGGAAAAATAATTGTAATTCATAGGCCAATTCAGCTAAAAACAAATAAAGAAATTAAAATAGATAAAGTAAACAACAACAAAGGAAAATAAACACTGGTATCCCATAAATATAGAAGAAGGCAGTCAACTTCACATGTAGTAAGAAAAATTAAAATGCATATTATATCAAGATAACATTTTATTATATCTAGCTCTTAAAAAGCCCCCAAATTGATGTGGCTTATCACTTAAACAGTCCCTTGTGGGAGTGAAGATTGAAGCAATGCCTCTAGACAGCTATTTGCAAATTCTGCAAAGAGCCTGGCAGTTCTTACAATACTTAAATTACCTTACCATACGACCCACCATTTCTGCTCTTGTGGTTTAACTGTAGAATAAATTCTTTCCATATATATGAAGCAATTTCAGTTAAAAGGTAATTCACCAGAAACTCTGTTTGCTATAGTGAATGACTAGAAAATACCCAAATGTTCATCATTATTAGGAGTATTGTTAAATAAATTATGATATATTTAAATAATACAGTCTTTCATATCTATTAAGAACATAAAAGGTAGGCACCAATGCTCCTGCAAACCACCCTAATGTAATTTATTTAGTCATCAATAAAAATGATGTGGGAAGGTCATTTGTCAATCTGTTGTTTCATTGGTTAATCAATAAAGAAAACTGCTTGGTCTGATAGGTCAGAAAATTAGGTAGGTAGAGTAGACATAACAGAATACTGGGAAGAAGGGAAGTGAGCCAGACGCCATGCCTCTCCTCTCTGGTCAGATGCGATGAAGCTCCGGCCCAAGATGGATGCAGGTCAGACATGCTGAATCTTTCCCAGTAAGCCACTACTTTGTGGTGCTACACAGATTATTAGAAATGGGTTAATCAAGATGTGAGAATTAGCTGATAAGCGACTAGAGCTATGGGCCAAGCAGTGTTTAAAAGAATACAATTTGTGTGTTGTTATTTCGGGTATAAAGCTAGCTGTGTGGGAGCCAGGCAGGACGAAAAGCATGCCTGCTGCTCCTCACTACATAAAAAGAAATGGAAGAGCTGGGTATAGTACATACAACTTTAATCCCAGCATTTGGGAAGCAGAGGTAGGGAGATCTCTGTGAGTTCAAAGCCAGTCTGGTCTATACAGAAAGCAAACCAAGAAAAACAAAAGGACACCACCCGGTCTGCTTGGTAACAGAGAGACTGGATAATTTCTGAGGCTAGGTTATCAAAGAAAATATAGTTTCCACCCTGTCTTCTCTTGTAACTCTGTAAGAACCTTGTCATCATGCTGGAGGAAGGACATATGGGGCATCATCTGAAGGCATTAGAGCTGTAGGTAATGAGGATGAATTTGTAGCTGATAGCCAGTATCTACTCCTGAGTATATGAGTGAGAAAACCTGGCTGACTTCATTCATGGCTCAATGTCTGACAAAAGCTGAATGTCAGACCTTGAGGAAGAACTGCCTAGTCAAGATCAGACAATCTAAGAACTATTAAAGACACTTTAGAGTTCCACATTTTTATTATGGTAAGCTCCTGTTCAAGCTATTGGATATTGAGGTGATTTTTTTTTTAATGAAGTGGTAGGTAACTGGAATGTGTATGTAGTGATCTTTAAGATACACAGTATTGGTGAAACAAAGGCATATAGAACAATGTATGAACTACGCTAACATTGGATACACAGGGCTATAAATACCCGCATATATGTCTATATTTACATATGTATGCATAGAATGTACCCAGGAGAATGCACAGACAAAAATAACATGAAAAAGCTGATTATTTAGAAATGGGGAAAATATTTGACCCTTTTGCTATGTATTTTTGAATAATTTTTTTTTTTCAAGAAAGGGTTTCTCTGTATAGCCCCAGCTATCCTGGAACTTGCTATGTTGACCAGACTGACTTGAACTCACAGAGATCCACCTGCCTCTACCTCCCAAGTTCTGGGATTAAAGGTGTGTGCCAACACTGCCTGGTTGCATACTTTTAACATGTTGAACCACAAGGGTCTGAAGACAAGGCTAAGTAGTTAAGAGCATGGATTGCTGTTGAGGAGGACAGGGGTTCGGTTTTCCACACCCACATGCTGGCTCACAATCATCCATAACTCAGTTCCAGGGAATCTGACGCTGTCTTCTGACCTCTAGGCATCAGGTATATACATGGTGTACATACAAACATTCAGGCAAAATACGCATACACTCATACACATAAAATAAAATTAGAAAAAAGTTGAACAATAAGAACTTATTGCCTATTCAAATACCAATTTTTTTTAAACATGAAAAATGTACCTAAAATGTGTCATCAATGGGTACTTTTGTGATCCAGTTGCCCTCACTTCCCCTGACTGACAGCGAAACTTCCTTGTGGTCTGTAATTGACAAGGATGTTTGTGTTCTTTCTGGCCAGTGGGTCTCCACAGAAGGAGTAGAGGTATAAAAGGTTGCTGGGCAAACTAAAGGTTGCTGTTCTTCCACCTGAAAAGAAGCCTCCATGTGTCAATCCCGGCACCCCAGCCAGTCTTGGCTATCCAGGCTGCGCTGGCTGCAGCAAGTGGAGGTCCCACTGAGATCTGGAAAGTGGGGATACGTGAACGGGGTAGCTCCAACCACCAGCTAAATGGAGGAGCGTATTGGGGAAGGTAGTGTTCTAATTTTTCATCCCCCGAGATAACTCTGAGAGACATCTTCCAAAAGATAAGCAAGTATAAAAAGGCGAGAGGGTGAGTTGAAAGGCTTCAAAAAGTAACTGAAACTCTTAAAGCAACAAGGCATAGAAGTAACAAGGAAGACAGCCAAAGATTTTGTACAGGAGGGGGTTTAAATGTTTTAGACTGGGAACAAGCCAAGTCAGATTAAAAGCAGTATGTGTGTCTTCATCCCCAGAGATGCTCTGAGGGATGCCCTCTGGAAGATTGACCAGTAGAGAAGAAATAAAAAGGAGGCAGGAAGGTGAATTGAGGATCTCAAAAGATAGAATGTGTAGAGATATATATATTATTTTGTTGATTGTGTTGTCTTTTGTGTTCTGGACTGGAGAAAGACAATTTATTCTGGGAACTTCTAAGAAAGGTACTTTGACTTTAAAATATGGGCCTAAGGATTTGATGCTTTGGAAAAGAGGTTCTGCTTTTGTCTCCACAGAGGATGAGAACCTGTGGATTCATTGCAAATTTATGTGGTTTGAATCATCGAGACACCCTGAAATGTTGATGTAAAATACTCCCAAGAATGCAGCACCCCCCGCTCAGCAGGAAGTAGTCAGACAGGTTGACAATGCCCAAATTCCCTAAAAGGTTGCTAAAGTGGGGCCCCTTCAATGGTTTTGGAGCAGAAGCAGTGAGCCTGCTTCCCTGAGTTCTGCTCCACTCCATGTAGCAGTTTAGATCCAGAGTGAGTGCGGCTAGGGCCATGATGGAGGAAGGTCATTGGTTAAAAAATAAAGAAACTGCTTGTCCCTCATAGGTTAGAACATAGGTGGGTGGATTAAACAGAACAGAATGCTGGGAGGAAGAGGAAGTGAGCTCAGACTCGATAGCTCTGCTCTCTGATGCAGACGCGATGAGGCTCCGACCCAGGATGGACGTAGGCTAGAATCTTCCCGGTAAGCGCACCTTGGGGTGCTACACACATTATTAGAAATAGGCTAGTCCAGGTGCAAGAGTTAGCCGAGAAGAGGCTAGATATAATGGGCCAAGCAGTGTTTAAAAGAATACAATTTGTGTGTTGTTATTTCGGGTAAAGCTAGCCGTGTGGGAGCTGGGCGGGACGAAAAGCAGGCCCGGCCCGCAGCTCCCACAACAGGGCCAGAAGGTAGCTGGAGCAGAGCTTTGCCACCACAGCTACTGCTGCTGAACTTGCTCTCTCACAGCCTGTGCAGACAGCTGAGACTGTTGACCAGCAGGCTGAAAGAGTCAGCAAGGCTTTGGACATTCAAAATTATCTTAATGGACATATTCAATTGGGCATATTGACCTTGAACCAACAAGTGGCTCTGGTTCAGGAGCAAGTGAACTATCTTTGGACTTTCAATAGTTAATATTGTTATGTGAGTTACTCATGGCACTGTATTGCATGCTTCTGCTACTGTTATGGAACTCAACCGTCATATGAGAGGGCTTTGGAATACTGCTTTTGTTAATTTTAGCACCCAGTTAGTGCATGCTAAATGGTTGCAGCACTGGTCTGGCTCGTTGGCACTGTCAGTCCTGGGAATACTTGGTCTAGGGCTATGTGTCTGTGTAGCCACTGACGGACAATACTTTGGGGGCAGGATGCTACCTAAGACAGGGAATATTAGAGGGCTATTCCCCATGGCAGGCAAGGTATTATAAAATAAAATGGGGGGAGTTGTTGTGATCCAGCTGCCCTCACTCCCCCTGACTGACAGCGAAACTTCCTTGTGGTCTGTAATTGACAAGGATGTTTGTGTTCTTTCTGGCCAGTGGGTCTCCACAGAAGGAGTAGAGGTATAAAAGGTTGTTGGGCAAAATAAAGGTTGCTGTTCTTCCACCTGAAAAGAAGCCTCCATGTGTCAATTCCTGCACCCCCGCCAGTCTTGGCTATCCAGGCTGTGTTGGCTGCAGCAGGTTACGAAACAAGCAAGTGCAAGTTAAAAACCAATGGGCTATTTATATTTATATTTATATTTGCAGAAGGTTGCTTGCAAAGAGTAACCAACGTAATAACTTTTTAGTGAAGGAAACTGGAAGGCACTTCCTTAAATAAAGGATCAACTCAGCTGATCAAAATTAACACTATCTGCAGTAAGACTAATGTTTTCAAAGAAAGGAACTTTAGTGGCAGGCCTGCAAAAAAAAAAAAAAGACCCTAATCTGAATATTAATTAAGGGGAAATGTTGCAGAAACCAAAGTTAAAGACATTTTAAAAGAGGCAGGTGCAGAGAGGAGCAGAGGGACAGAGAGGGTCAGAAGGGCAGAGAGGCAGAGGCTAATGACACTGTACCTGGCTGGTAATACTTTTTTTTATTAGCAAATAACCGGATATGGGACAACTACTGTCGTAAGTATACCTTCAGGACTTCAGGATACATGACTTTCAAATCCTTATCTTGACTTTCAAATTAAATTTCCACAACAGTCAAATTTGTGTTCTTTGCTTAACAGTTTGTTGAAGCTTAAGCGATGTAAAAATATAAAACCCAAGGCCTCAGAGTGTACTCTACAAGAGATGATTTGCCTTGCATGAACAAATCCTCAGTTTGATCCTGAGCACTGTGAAAATAGCTTGTGTACTTAGTAATTCCCATTCTAAGAAAGCATATTCCAATCAAGTAGTGACTGTGAAAAATATTTCTGTTTATCTGTGTTCTTCATGCTATCA